CTCATTTCCACTTTGTTTTCTTTTTGGAATACATTTTTTTTTTCATTTTAAATTAGCACACACAGATGCACAAATTACTTGACTGGCACTAATTACAGAATTATGAAAATTGGAATTACAGGCTGCTTCATACTATAAGAATGTTTTTATTGGTTTGTTTTTATTTTTCATTTCTAATGATTGAACCCAGGACCCTGTGCATGCTAGGCAAGCACTTCACTGCTGAGCTACATCCCAACCCCAACTGGAATACAATTCATCTACCAGAGAATTTATCTGTGTTTGATTCACTCTCAGAATCATATACTCGGTACCACTACCCAATTTCAGAACACTTTCATCACTCTAAAAAGGAACCACACACCCATGAACAATTTCTCTTCATTGCTTTTGCACACAAGTGTCCAGTTGTCCCAGCATCATCTGTTGAAAAAGCTATTCTTTTTTCCATTGAACTGTCATGATAATGTGTCAAAAGTCAGTTGACCATAAATATGAAGGTTTATTTTGAGGCTCTCAGATCTGTACCACTAATCAATCTATCCTTCTGCTAGTGCCACACTGCACTGTTTTCAGTAGTAACATGGTAAGTACTAAGTCAGGAAATGTGAGTCCTCCAAACTTTGTTCTTTTTCACAATCCAGAGTTCCCAATGATTTAGAGTCAGCCTGTCAATTGCTGTCCCAAACAAACAATAACAAGACAGAGTAATAGAAGTTATTTTGAATCTGACAACCAATTCAGGTACACTGATTAGGTATGGTGTCACACCCTTATAATCCTAGAACTCCAGAGGCAGAGGTAGGAGAACTACCACACATCTGAAGCCATCCTGGACTACATAGTGGGTCCAGACCACTGAGACTCTGTCTCAGAAAACAAACAGCAGTTCAGGAGCATTGTCATGTTAACATGGCCTCCAATCCTCAGATACAGGATGGTTTTCCGTTTAGGTCTTCCTTAATGTCTTCTAGTAATGACTCTAATTTTCAATGTAGAAGCCTTGCATTTCTTTTTGTTGGGCTTATTCCTAGGTGCCCTAGGATCCCCTTTGGATGATATCACAAACAGTTTTGTTTGCTTAATGTCACTTTGAGATTGTTCAAGTTTAGAAAAACAATAGATTTCTGTTTCTAATCAAGATTTTTTAATATAAAAAGGGCCATGCGGTCGGCAAACAATTTTACTCTTTTTCAATCTGGATGCAGTCTGTGTCTTTTTCTGCCTATTATCCTGCTCCCTGTCCCTTTAAAGCCTACCTCGTTTCTTTCTTTTTCTTCTCCTTTTTTTTTTTTCCAGTTCTGGGGATTGAACCTAGGACCTCACACATATTAGGGAAGCACTGAGCTATCCCCAGTCCAGCCTACATAGTTCTAGAGTCACTTCTTCTTTTTTCCTCATTAGAATAAACTTTTTGGGGGGATGGTGCCAGGGTACAGGAGGAAGAGAGGAAGTAGAACTCTTAAGAGCAGAAGTTGAAATTTGTAGTTTTAATTGATTTCCGGGGACCTGCCCATGTTTCACAGTGAAATTATTTTGCTTTATAGGAGCTGGGCCCACTGATTTTTTTTTTCTGTTTAAAAATACTGAAATTTAATTTTTAATAGATTTCTTTTTAATTGTGTTTAGGGGTGTGTGCACACATGTGAATGCAGGTGTCTATGACATCCAGAAGACGGCACTGGATTCCTTGGGGCTAGTGTTAACAGGTGGGGTTGTGTGTCACCTGATATGTACTGGGAACAAACACCAAACTTGGGTTCTTTGGAAGAGCAATCAGTGCTTTTAACTGTGAAACCAACCTATGAAACTTGTCCTTTCCTTTCAAGCTTTGGACATAATCCTGGATAAGCCCAACACCTGACTTCCTCGGCCATTAAAATCAAAGATGATACTGTCTCTTTCACCTGTGCCAATCTCTTCTCTGGACAGTTTTTCCTTGCCTGTCTGAAGCAGACTATTTAACAGTTCTTATTATACATCCTGTCTTTTGAGAAATAAAGTAACCAGACAATAATAGAGCTGTCAGATCTTCTGCCTTTACCCCAAAGAGACTTTGACAAATATCTCCCACATCTGAAGTCTTTCCTCTAGTCTTTCAATGCTATGATCTACAGGAGATTCTGCCAATCTGTTCTTTCCATTTAACCTCACTCTTTTAATCTGCCCCTTTCTGGCACTTGTCCCCTCCTGGTGATCACCCAAAAAGGAGTGGGCATATTTTTTTTGACACCCAAGGCTTTTCAGGCATCCCACCTAGGAGAACTTTCTATCAAAACAAAGGACACACTTAGCTGCCTCAGTTCTGATGAATGTCCTGGTCCACCACTATAACAGAACTCCTAGTTTCTCCAAAGCAAGAGAGAGAAAAACAGAGTTTAATTAAATGTGTGAGATGCATTGCAAAGTCTGTGTTAGAGGCTTACAATGACAAGGAACATTTCCCTCCATGACATTTGCAGGTCCTGTATTAGTCAGAAGGAAAAGAACCCGTGACTTTATAGACTGGCCCCTTCCCCAAGTATGAGTGAGCACTTTGTGCACATTGCTAGAAGCAAAACACCCAGGTCCCTAGCCAGGACCTCCCTAAAGGACAGGCCAGGAAGGCCCGCTCTCATGGCCCTCTCCTGTTTACTACTCCAAGTCCCCAGGTCTCCAGGACAGCTGCCTTCTGTTTGGGGCTTTCCTCCCAGAGACCAATCACTTCTTCCTACTGTGCTCTAAAACCAATTTCAGATGCCACAAGTGTAGTTTCATCCAGCTTCCTGTCCATAGTGATCTTCTAACCCCCAGGTTCACTTTGGACCCTTGGTCTAATGACAGAGCCATTTGGCCCAAGCTTCCAGTTAAGGTTATTTCTCCCTTACCTTTGGGCTGTAGCTCCTACTGAGTCCAGCTACTAAGAAATACTTAACTGGGAGTTATAGCCATGAGTAAAATCTCAGAACTGGTCTTAACACTATTCCACAAAGCTTCTCCTAATCAATGAAGGAGAGAAGAATGAGAATATAACAAAATAATCTGAGGGGGGGAAGAGGATTGATACACATCCCTTTGAGCTGAGTTGTACTCTCCTACCTCAGGCCTGTTTGTTAGCCAGGCTGTGGACAGAGGAGCACACTGTCTTTAGCCTAGGTTGGCATAGATAGCATCAAGGAAAAGCTCCCTAATTAAGTACAGGTACAGTGAGGCCATGGCAAAGATACACAGGAGGAAAGGTGGGGCTGCTATGAACCCGCCACCAGCACATTTTAACAATGTTATACTCTTATTTGCTATAAACTTAAAAAGTTCTCTCCCCACTCTTGTAATACTTCACTATTCCAATAATTCACAACTGTTACTACTAAGACCTTAAATGTACCATCTGTTTGCCATCTATTTTGTTTTTGTTTCTTAAGTTTTGTTGTTGTTCTTATGGCTGTTGTTTTGTTTTGGAGACAGGGTCTTTTGTTGTGTAGCCCAGGTTATCCTAGAATGCTTTATTTAGCCCAGGCTGGCCTAGAAGGCACAATCCCCATGCCTCAGCTACCTAAATGCTGGGATTACAGGCAAGCACTATCACAGATTAATATTTACCCTCTTTCAAGGAGCCAGCTACTATAATATAATATATATATGTATGTGTATATATATATATATATATATATCCTTTCATATCTGAGGGAACATATTCAACACTATTTTCACCTTATTAAAAAGCATCAAATGAAACAATTTCAATATTATTTTCCCCACTCTTCTTTCACATTTCAAAACACTGTGTATTTCATTTGCTGAATTCATACACAGCATATCTACAGGCTTTGACATATTTCTTATAGTAACAACTACTCTGTCTATTGGAACTGAAGAAAAAGATCCTTTTTAACAGAAATAGCATGTACCCCAAAGCTGCAGTTTTCTCAACACCTGTTGAAATCAAATAGTGAAAAGTGTGTTCCAATTCCCATAACTCCATATCCAAATCGAAATGTTGATTCACTTTGCTTCGACCGACAGGGTCTTTATCAAAAAGAAACAAAACAGCGCGCGCACACACACACACACACACACACACACACACACACACACACACACACACACCCTCCAAAAAAAGCAAACAACAACAAAACAAAACAAAAAACCACAAAACCAAACCTTCCCAAAGAAAGGAAGTTGTTTTGTTTTGCTCTGTGAGACTCGCTGTCTAGCCTTGGCTGGCCTCGAACTCATTCTGTAGACCAGGCTAGCCTCGAACCCACAGAAATTCTCTTGCCTCTGCCTCCTGAGTGCTGGGATTAAAGACATGCACCACCGCTGCCCGGTTGAAAGGGAGTTTTAATATGCTGGCTGCTTTAGAAATAAGATGCCTTATTTAAAAAGCAGTCTGTTTCATGGTAAATTATTTCTCATCGAGTCACTTCAGAGGAAGCTATGCGATTGGAACCGCAGGGCAAGCACGGTTATTGCTTCCGGAGACAGTGAGCATGACAAATATTCAGTTTGTCAAGGGTGAAGAAAAGAAAACTAACAAATAGTAACCTGACACTCCCCTTCGTTCCAGCCTGGCAAGGCGGCTACACTGTAGGCTAACTTCACATAGACCATAAAGCTGAATGAAAGCAGCCGCTGTGGCGGAGAGTGGCGTAAAGGCACGGCAATGCCTCCTCCGTGGCATGCATTCATTCATTCGTTGTCACTGCGCTGGAAGCTCACCTCTCCAACTAGGACCCGCGCACCTTCATTCTCACTTCCAGCCCGAGGCTGCACTGCTCATGCTCTCCAGAGCCTCGCCCTCCCTCCCTGCCCTGTGTTCCCAGGCCAGAGTAACAGGCAGGATCAAGGGCGGCCTTAGCCACAGAAAGCGGGGGGCTCGCAGCACCGAGCTCAGGGGAGCCTCGCGCGACGAGAGCCCGTCGGGGTGGGGAGAGGGGACGGGCCACCGGGCTCTGAGTGTCTGTAACCTGAGGGCAGACGGTGCCCAGGAGGGGGGGCAGCGAGCCTGCGCGGAGAGTTACCTGATGAAGGTGGTCTTGCCGGTGCTGTACTGGCCCACCAGCAGGATCATGGGCTTGTTTTCGAAGTCGGCGTCCTCCAGCGCAGGCGAGTGGAACTCATGGAAGCGGTACGCCTCCTCCAGCGGCAGCACCTTGCGCTGGTAGAGCGAGCGCAGGCCGCCCGTCACCGTCTGCACCGCGTCCACGCCGCCCGAGCGTTCGCGCCCGCCCGCCTGCCGTCCCATCCAGCTGAACATGCTGCCGCCAGACAACTTGCAGCCCGCCGCGATCCAGTCAGACCCTGCGTCTCTCTACCTCAGCGCCCGCGTAGCTCTGGCCGTCGCCGCCCGCTCCCGGGCCCGCCCCCTGCCGCGACGACCAATCATCAGCCGCTGCGTCACGGGCGGGCGCTCATTATTCAGAAGCGCTCTCAGGTCCTTCCTCATTGGGCGTCTGCCAGCGAGGAGTGGAGGCTCTAGCCAATGGAGAGGCGTGTCTTAATGAATTATCGATGACGGCATAGGTCTGGAGGGCTGGGCGAGGAGAGGGAGTCGCCCCAGGCTGGGTGGCACGGGAGCGTCTGCCCGGGAATATCCCTCTGGCCAGGTGGCGTCGGCTTCCGGGCAAGTCTTAGCTGGCAGGAACGAACCACCAGAGGACGACCTTCTGGAACTCGATTCATCCTAAGCTTCTAGACATAGATACTGGGGACGGAAATTTCAGAAAGTTGACAGACAGGTTCCTTTTCCGCTGGCAGATTGTTATCCTGTTTACGGCCTGAGAGACTCGGGCTCACCGATATAACTGGCATTTTTTGAAGGAGAGGAAATAAACTTCGGTCTATATGCGTGGGTATTTCTCTTGCCTCCACTGAATTCTGGATCAGTTGAAGGCCCCCTTTCTCCTTGGCTTTATTTAATTTTCTAACGCATGGAATCTTCACTGTTAACCATCTAATTTCAACACTAACATACACCAGAGCTGTTGTCATCTCCTCGCCGCCCCCTTTCCAGATTAAAACCTAGACACTGGTAGAAATAATTGACCATCGCTAGGCGAGAAATAACGTGAGTGTGTTTTCAGCGTGGCCCATGAGGTCAGCTGCATAGGAATAACCAGAGGTGCTTGTTAAAATACAGATTTCTAGTTCTCGCTGCAGACCTACTAAATTAAAATGTTGAGAGATTGAGGTCAACAATTGCCTGCAAGTGATTCTTGTGTGCATTAAGTTTGGAGAAAGATCGTGATAAATTACTTCTTGAACTTGGAAGAAATGCAGATCCGACTCTTGAGGTAGTTGTAAAACTACATTTTGAACGATCTCCCAGGTGTTGCCAGTGCAGTGCAGGAAAGTTTATGACAGCTTTGTTCATCAGTAAAACTTGGAAGCAACCAAAGTGGCCTTCAGTAGACGAATGAATAAACTATGGTATAGCTGCTGGTCTATGAGGCGAATTTATAAGTGAGGTTTCCAGATACAAGGACCAGCTATGTCTACATTGTAGAAACAACAATTGGACATTGAAGTGCAAAATCTACATCCCTTGGAACAGCACCAAAAGTAACGTATGTTTAGAGCTAAATCTAATCGAATGTACCAGACCTATATGCTGAGAATCACAATATATTTCTAAGAGAAATGAGGGCCTAAATATATATTGTCTGTATCATGTCAGTGGACCAGAAGACTCAACATTAAGATACCAGTTTTACCCAATTCATTGGATGCAATCCTAATAAAAAATCTCAGCAGGTTTTTGTTTTAGTCAAAATTAGCAAAACAATACCAAATTTCATACAGTGGCCCAGAAAAAAAAATGTTAAGTATAACAAAGTGGAGCCTTTATATTACCTAATTTCAGGACAAATAAAGCTACAAAAATCAAGATGGGTGGTGTTAATACAAAAATTATCTAGTAAGCATATACTAATGACATTTCAGGAACAGGCAATAGGCTAGTGCAAGGTTTTCTTGACTATGACATCACATTTTAATTTATGTGAGTACACTCCATGATGCTCACACAATGCCTAGCATTGCATTTTAAGGATATGCCATCATTTAGTGAGGAATTACCACATGAATGGAACAGAGTTCAGAAAGACCTACACATACATGGCCAACTGGTTTTTGACAAAGCACAAAGTCAATTTAGTGGATAATTCAAAATCTATTTTCTTTTTGGAGCAGATTCTCAAACACCCAAGCTGGCCTTAGACTCACTAGATACACGGGAATTACCTTAAACACATCTTGATTCTTTTGCTTCTGCCTCCCAAGTGCTAGGATTACAGGCATATGCCCCCACAGACTGGCCCAGGAAGTCTTTTATGTAAACAGATTAGAGTATAGAAGTTTAGCATGCATGAAGCAGTGGGGTCCATCCCCACCCCACCAGCAAACATGACCCACATATAGCTCTAGAGCAATAGGATACCTGTATTCAGAAACATGAATTCTGATCCAGGCCTCATACCCTATGTTCAAATTGACTCAGAATGAACTCTAGATGTAATGTAAAATTTACAAGTTATAAAACTTCTCAAAGAAAACTTAGGAGATAGTTTGTGTGGTTGTAAGGTAGGGAAAAATTTCCTAGGTAACACCAGAGGGCCATACATATGAAGAAAATTAGTTGATAAACTGGATTTCATCAAACTTAAGAATGTCTGACCTATGAAGGAACTATGGGAAAGGTAAAGTGCAGACTTGGAGAATATATTTACAGATGTCTCACAAAGGCTTATATGCAGAATGGATAGACCTTTAAAAATTAATGACCAGGGATTGGAGAGATGACTCGGTGACTAAGAGAACTAATTCTTCCAGAGGACCCAGATTCAATTATCAACACCCACATGTCAACTCAAGGACCCAATATCCTCAACTCAGGCATCCAATGCCCTCTTCTGGCCTCTGCAGGCACTGAATGCACACGGTGCACAGACATACAGGAAGGCAAAACATATAAAAAAAAAAAAAAAAAAAGGAAAAAGTTTAAAAAAGAAAACTAATTTTAATAATGAAAAATTTACAACAGACATTTCACAAAAGTGTGAAAAGTTAGGGGAAGGAAATTAAAACCACAAAAGACATCACAATATACCTAATAAATTGTGTAAAATTATCAAGATCATACAAATTATTGGTGAGAAGCTGTAACTGCCTTATACAATTTGTGCAAATGTGAAATGATCCAAAACCTTTGTTTATTTCTTGGAAAGGTAAATACACTTGTCACATGATCTAGTAGTAATAGAAGGAAAGGTTATAAAGAGGAGAGAGAAGAGCATAAAAGAAACCTTGTGGGGATGAAAGATGACCTTCTTTTGATTATATATTTTGATTATAGTTTCACATTTGTACACCTAGGAAGTTAATCACTATGTGCTTTCTTTAAAAATATTTTATTTTACATGTATGGATATTTTGCTTGCTTATCTGTGTACCACATGCATGCTGTACCAGAGGGGAGATCAAGAGTCCCCAGACACTGAAATTACAGCTGGATGTAAGGCACCAAGTGGGTTCAGGGAGTTGAACACAGGTACTCTGCAAGAACAGCCAATGCTCTTAACTACTGAGCCATATCTTCAGACCCCTAAATTATATACTTTCAATATATGCAGTTGATTATATGTCAATAATTTCTCGATGAATTGCCAAAAATTCATATATTTTGCCTCAGGAATTTCATATTGAAGAAACTAACCTGAGGGTATTTACCCTGAGGAATAATGAATATAAAACTTTATTGGAGAGGATGTTTATTATTGTTTATAATACTGAAAAGCTGCAACTATCTGTCTCCCCACAGTGTTAAACAAATGGTGGCTTCTTATGCAGTTATTGAACATTGTGTCATATAAGAAGAATATTAATGACCTGGAAAAAAAATCAGAGAATTTTGGATTATGGTTGCAGCTCAGTGGATGGCACCTGATGTAGCGTGGGTGGGTAAATCTTTGAAGATATTTGGTGGTGGAGAAGCTAGCCACAGAGGGGTGACTATAATAGGATGACATTTCATGGAGGTTTCTAAAGTAAAGTTCACAGAAACAGGAAGTAGAGTTAGAGCAGTGGTTACCAGAAGTTTCAGGGAGGAGGAAATAGGGTGTTGTTCAGTTGTATAGAGTTCCATTTTGCTAGTTGGAAGAGCTACAGAGAGCTCTTGCACACTAATGTGAAATGCTGTGTACTTAGAAATGGCATAAGATGATAAATTTTGTGTTGTATGCTATGTGTTGTAGTTTGACTTTTTTTGAGACAGGGTCTTTTTAAAATTAATTTAATTTTATATGTATGGCAATTTTGTTTGTGTTTTGTGTACCACTTGTGTGCCTGGTGCCCACAGAGGCCAGAAGAAGATGCCAAATTCCCTGGAACTGGGGTTATAGATGATGTGGGTGTTGGTGTTGGAGCTGAACCTGGGTCCTCTGGAAGAAATACCAATGCTCTTAACTGCTGAGCCATCTCTTCAGGCCTATATGGTTTTTAAAACTATAACTCGGCCAGGTGGTGGTGGTACCTGCAGCACTCAGGAGGCAGAGGCAGGTGGATCTCTGTGAGTTCAAGGCCAGCCTGGTCTACAGTGTGAGTTCCAGGATGGGAACAGCTGTTACACAAAGAAGCAAAACAAAACAAAACTACAACTTTAATGTTTTTTAAGTGGATGTACAGGATTTTGTATTTTTGTTTAAAGATTTGAAAGTGCCCAAGAAAAAGGCAGAAGTGCTGAACCTCCCAGACTGTAACGCTTCCAGAGCCTGGGAATGGGTGACACTAGTTTTCTCTGTATGGGCTTTAGAATTTTTTCAAACTTTACGGAACAATCACATTCTTGTTTTACAAGCAGGAAAGAAAACTAAGGAAGAAACATAAATGAATTGCCTTTAGCCCTTCCAAAAAAAAAAAAAAAAAAAAAAAAAAAAAAAGGAAAAGGAAGTCCTGCGGAGCCTCCCTCTGCCCTCTGCCCTCTGCCCTCTGCCCTCTCCCTCCCCCCAGCACCCATGGTGCTTCCTGTAGCATTCTTGCTCTCACTAGTTCTTGACTTAGGGGAGGGTGACTGGTCCTTTCCTTTCTTGCATCCATTTATAAATGGCAGTTCTCCTTTGGTTTGCTCTCTTCCTACTTAACAGTCCCAGTTCCAGTTCACAAGCTAATTCTATGGCTTGCAGGTCTACAGGGACGCCTGGAAATTTGTTGTGCTATATAATCCTTGGGGAAAGTAGCCTGACAATAAGACTCATAATTCTCTTTGCTGTATAGAAAAAAAATTTTTTTTTTTTGTTTTTTTGAGACAGGGTTTCTCTGTGTAGCTCTAG